CCTCGTATGGATTTAGGTTGTGAGACTCGTTGTCGTTAGCGGCCATGTCGTTGTCCCAAGGGCCAAATGGAGACACAGCCCTGGCGTCGTATGCAGCTGGTTCTATGAGGTCGGGAAGACTACGATCATCTACAAGGGAGTTGTCTAGAGTGTCCGGGTCAGGTGTATGCTCCGCGCGGCGGTTAATAGGCACGATGCCGTTAGCGGCCAAGACGCTGACGTACAACGCGTACAATTGATCCTCTTGTATCGTAGCTAGGACATGTGACAAGTCGGCGGCAGTGTTGTTCATGATCCGACTAAGGATCAACGAGTTGATAGATGAAAGCCCGCTGGCTGCAGCAGGAGCTTGTGCGCGAGAAGGGCCAGCGTGGTTTGTCATCCTCATAGGGCCACCAGGCGCGGGGACAGGGAACTGGACAGAAGGAGGCTGTTGGACAAACGTGAACGCCTGAACAACGGGGAACTGCTGAAGATGCTGCACGGTTGCCGTCCGCTGTGCTGCTGTGAATATGTGATGCGTGAGGTTTGTCGCAGCCTGGATCGCCTCCGGCTCGGGCATGTCCTCCCACACCACATTTCTCCAACGACCAAACAGCTCGCCATCTCGATGAGCAGGGAGTACCGTCCGGGGACCACCCAAGAGCTGAGTGAGCCAGTTAAAGTCTCGTGGAAACATCAGCGGTAGGTCGATATTGGCGACAGCAGCCTTGACATAGCGGGTCAGATCGAGCTCGTCGTCGCCGGATGGGTATACCCTAACGTCAGCTGCCAGTGACGCGAAATGAACATTAGCGACGACCGGTTTATGGTGACGGCTACCCGGGACTTGGATCTCGCAGTGGTTTTGGACGCCGGCAAGAGTCAAGTTATCGTGGTCCCAAGCCTGGCCAACTTTTGGGTAAAGACCGGCCTTGTGGCGAGTCATAGTCCATTGATCGTCCTGAAGATAGTGTCGCATCGTCCCCTGGGCCAAGTGAATCACGGCATTGGTAGCGTCTTGCCGAGAATTGTTCTTCACCACGACTCGAAACCATTTGTGAATCCTAACGAGGGGGTAGGCATCGCCACCGTTCTGGACGAATCGAACAAGAACGCCAGGGCTACGAATCAGCGCGGGAAGAAACGTCATCAGTTCCGCACCGGTGATGTTGCCGGTTTGCAGGATGCGGAGATACCGGGTAACAGCGTTTGGACCGAAGATGTCAGTTGGGGAGGCGTGAATAGAGCCGTCCTTGTTCTTCGAACGTGCTTTGCTCATGGCGGCTGGTTTCTCAACCCTAGCCCCTTTGACCGGAGATGAGTTGGCTGAAGGGGTCTTCGGATTGCTCGCCATGATGCCTTTGATACAAGGATTAGTGTTTGGTAGAGGAAACGTTGTAGCAATCGGATGGAGGTTTGAGCGGTGCTTAATTGCTTGCACTGCTGAGTATGGAACTTACTGGCTGAGAGTCTGCAACTCGGTTGATATAGAGTAAGACGGGTAATTCGACGAAGTCAGGTATATAGAGGTTATTGATAGATGCGAGCCTCGTCAACGATATATTGTTGCAATACTTTTGCAGCCGCGGACGAAGAAACCTTTGTTTACGGCTTTAGCAGACGCATGGAGAGGCGCTTTGGCTCAAAGCTAAAACAAGATGCAATCCAATTGTCGCTTGAACAATGTGCTAGCGCTTCGGACATGAGGGTCTGCAAAATGTGAGCACGAAAGGCCGCATTGACGAAGCTGGACCAATCTGAACCCCACGATCAAGGATCTTGGAGGTGAGTTTGAAACAATCCCCGCGTTCGCCAATCCAGGAGTGACCACATCAAGGGCGAGAACGGCTCATTCAGCCAACTTCGGAAGGCGGGTGACTCAATGTTGCCTGCGTTACTCTGGAAACATTCGTTCAGGGCGATATTGGGAGTTACTATTGCCGATAACTCCATCAAGTGACGTCAAAGAGACTGGTTCTTTGCTCCGAGAGCGATGGCGACATCGGTATCGATTGTCAGGTGATAAGAACAGATCGAGTACCCGAACATCTCTTCAGCCTCTTGTCCTCGATGTTGAGCATCGCTGATACATCCATACCTGGCGGAGGCTGGTCGCGGACGCACTAGGTTGGCCAGAGAGACTCGGTACGCAGCCGAGGACTAGATAGGACGAAAGGTATATCGATGCATCCAAAGTCCTCGACCACGAGGCGCGAGGTCTTACCGATGGGCCCTTGTAGTTGCAGGGGCTCGAAGACGATATCGCGTACGTAGCGGGTGGAGAGAGCTCGCGCACTTGATGTACTCATACGTATTATGACAAGCACCGTAGACAGGTCAAGCGATGCCGCACGTCAACATCTACTTCACAATATTAGCAGTAGATATAAGAGATTTGCGCGGCAATCGGTGGAATCCAATACACTATACGTTCATGCTCATTCAACTCTTCTTTCTTCTATGAACGCTACCATGGCCTGAGCGGAGGCCTTGATACAAGCTTGTAATGGTCGCGATCCTCTTAGTGCATCTGAAGACTTTACACAGAGACTTCGATGTAGTAGGTGCGATGGCAATGATGCCAGGAGTATTGGTGCTAGACACCCTGTAAAGGACACGGTGACATTGTCAAAACGCGTGGATCATAGCTTTACGAAACATAAGATGTTCTTGGATACGCGAATGAGGGCTGTTGGAATGCATCGTGGTTGAGCTTCGTGTGTGAAAGAGACGCGTTGACGCGTTGAAGCTTGCCGTCGGAGATGGGGCGGGACATTTCGCCGATGGGGGGCTGCCGCGGTAGCTTGGCGTCACGTGAGCCATCTCCTATCTTCCCTGACACAAGTGTCGATGCATGAGGAGCTTGCAAGTTCTAAGTAAAATTATCTGTGAATAGGTTCTAAAACGAGCCATGATAAACATCTTGGGATATGCGGACCTCTAGATCCTGATCGCGACCTCTCCGCATATGGCTTAGTGTGAGCGGTAGCCCGAGCGAATATCTGCCACTTGCCCCTGTGCCGAGGTCGAAGTCGTCCTCATCAACGGTCGACGCGACAGGTCGCTGCAAGCACATGTAGCCTGGATGTGCTCACGTTGAGTTATGATGCAGCGCCTCTTCAAGCATGAGTATCCATTTCCTTTGCGACGTTAACACTCTGCCTCTACAGCACAGCGAAGCCCATAAACCATGAGGTCACGCATCCACTGTCAACGTCGCGCCAACGTCTATTTCTGGCCAAAGTACGATGCTGACTATGAGAAGGAAGAGGTCTAGTCGTGCAGTATAGAGACAGGGCTGCTGTATTCATTCTCATATCAGCACGCGCGAAAGACTCAAACCGATTCTATCTGGATACCTCTTCAGGTCTTCGAACCCGATGAATAGACGATACTAAAAGAGAACACAGCTCCTTCGACGTTTCTGCTATCGACTATAAAGCCACCATCCGTCGTATTCGCCCGTTGTCACCGTGCAATCAACCAGGGGTATTCGAAACTCATAGGCCTTGTCCCTTCTTCCATCACCTCATCATCCGAGGCCGCAACGCCTCCGTGCGCTCGTCAAGATTCACCATGTAACGCGCGACATTCGCTCTGACTGCATGGCCAATCCTGCAATCCTCTTCATAACAGCCGTAATCTCGACATTCTCTTCTCTGACGTCGACGTTCCGCTTTTCTTTTCGACTCTTCTGTTCCGATTTCTTGTTCGGCTTCTTCGTCCTCTTCGTCCGCGAATGCCACGCGCTTGCGATCTATCTCCACGTCATGCACATGATCGTATCTGAACAGGCCAAATTCGAATTCCAATGCGTCATCTTCCCTCTGCTTTTCGCATTGACTGGCCGCCGCACCTATTTCCTCGTTTCTTTCGGCCTCCTCCCAAAAGCTCAGAGTTTCTTGAATCCTTTGTTCACTTATGTCCGTTTCCTCACTGCAGCGCACAATCACGTCACTCGGGGCTGTAACCGTGATCTGTATATTGGAAGTCTCTTCCGTCGCAGAGACGATGATGCTTCCCTCCTGTGGGCCACGGCTTGGAATGGGGTTCATTGGTGGAGAGGGATTAGACGATGATGACGTCGCTGATGGATCTTGGGCGCTCAGGGATTTGTCTTTCTTGGGCGGACGACCGGGGCCTCGTTTCTCAGGCTGTCCTTGGATTTGCGTCGGAGTATCTGCACGCGCTCGTCTTGACGTCTTGGGCTTTTTGGGTACTGATCCTGCCGGCAACCCATCTTTGCGTGGTCGACCACGTGGATTCTTTGCCGGGGTCGGTTTGGTACCGATTTCGATATGCGGTGCTGTCGCTGTACGTGGTGGAGTCATGGTAAGGTGGCTTCAATGCGCGCTTGGAAGGAAGGTAGGTGGTAAAGAAGGAGAATGTTGTACTGTCCGATAATCGACATGAAGATAAATGGTTTTTCGTTGTGCTATCATTAGCCTCCGCTGGAACTCTGGTTTGTCTTCGTTCGATGAGTCTGTGGAAGTTGCTGAGGCTGACCTCCATCCATGGTACGCGTGTTGTGGCACCATGGCCGACACTACACCAACAGGAAGGACCAATACCGTCCGTCGCAATGCACAGTATCTCAAGAAAGCAGCCTTCCAGCTTTTACAGTCATTGCTTCTCTTCCAGGCGCGCTGGTCGCTTCCATTTTCCTTGCACTTGTGCTGGCATCTGCACTGGCAATCGCTAGAACTTGCGTCGCACCTTTCTGCATACACACTATTGAACTTTAATGAAGAGACGGTTTCCATGTAAATCGATCTTCTATGTACGAAAAATCTTCAATGGTATCTTTGTAGAATGCAACACACGTTGTAGCCACCCTTGGTACCTGCTTCAATTCTCCTTCGGCGCTAGCCGCTGCGAGCCACTCACAATGTCCGTGTTTGAAGGCGAGGAGCCTTAATCGAACAGGAGTCACGACTGCTACCACATAACGTGATACGGCAAAAAGACCGCTGAAACATCTCCAGATCCTCGATCAGACCTCTCTGGGTCTGTTATCCTTACAACAGTGTTTCCGGCTCAGCGTCGTTGAAAGCGTCTAATGTCGACGGATTGAAGTAATGCTCCATAGCGCCATAGTTTAATGGAGCTGCGCTGAAGCCTGATGGTATGGCATCCAACCCAGAATCCCATGGCATTAGCGCATTCGGATTTGTGCGAAACCAGTCCTCTGGGCCGTAGTAATCGCCGTGCACATCTTCGACCCTTGCATTTGCTTCGGGTACAAAAGGATGGATAGATCCTCCTGGGACTTCCGTATTGTTCCAGTACAAAGCTGGATTTGCATCGTAATGCTGCGATGGCTCGCTCTGAGCTAAGCTTGGAAAAGAGGCGTTGGTCAGCTGATCGGGCCGCTGTAGGTCTGCGTCGAAGCTGTCCCTACCCACGTCAAGGGTCTGGCCAAGTTCCCGACGAGCGTTGCCGAGGTTCTCGTTTCTCGTATCAGGGCTCTCGTGAGGAACTTGATCTTTTGGGATATCTGTCCCGTCTGCATCGCCGGGGCGTTGATGAGCCAGCCCTTTGATGGACTGGACGATGCCTTGCAGGGTTTGTGCTTTGAGAGAGGGTGTGCCCTCCTCCGCATCCAGTAGGACCTGCCATTCTGGCAAGCCGAGTGCATTCAGTGGTGGATAGTTCTCCTCGAACATCACGCGATAATAGTCCGTGAAGGCACGAAAGCAATCTTCCTCTTCTGTTGGGAAAACGCTTATCGCCGACGGAAGATTCTCGCTGAAGTACTCTATGATAGCTGGCACATCGGCCGCAATGTAGTCCTTCGTGTCCATGCCGAAGGATACATGCGCCAGCCGAGTCGCCATGGCTAGCTCGAACTCGTCTACTGTCGGAGGAGATGAGATGCGCATTTCGCTCCGACTGACCAGCAACTCAATCCCGTAGAAGTTGGTACGCTGGATGATTTCTGCGACATGAGTAGGATGCGCTCGCCAGTTAACGCGTCTTTGCGCGTCTGACTGGGCGAAGCGAACACAACGAGCTAACTCTGAGTCGATGTGAGGTGGTGGTGCTGGCATGTCGCGGAAAAGTTGGGGAGCTTCTGCTCCATTCGGGACTACCCAGTCTAATCGCTGGTTCAGCGTCTCGACTTCCAATATCTCTGGCATTGGACGATACTCGCGCGCTCGTGGTCGCGGAACCGCAGGTCGATCGGTGAACTGAGCGAGGTAGTGCTTGAAGTTCTGTGGGTTTCCTGGGTCATAGTCTTCGCTGTAAGCTACGCCCGTCTTGATGATGGCGTGATTGTTCCTGTCTATCAGATAGGGAACTGTGGTCACAATCTTTGGAGCGGGCTGAGGTGCAGCAGCAACGGTTTGTGGCGGTGGTTGGCAAACACCAAATCCCTCGAATGCATCTTTGTTGACGACGGGGAATTCATTTTCTTCCGGTGGCGGTGATTTGTATGTACCGAACCCTTTAAATGCGTCTTTCTCGACCGCAGTAGATGCAGCAGGAACGATTTGTGGAGGCGGTTGGTAAGTACCAAATCCATCGAATACAGCTTTCTTGCCAGCGGGGATGTCATCGTCTTGTGGTGCCGGTGGTTTGTAGGTACCGAATTCTTTTGAAACATCTTCCTCGATGGTGGGGAAGGTGTAATCTTGTGTCATTCCCATTAAGATAGCATCCAAATCTAGAGATCCTGACTCTAGTTTATCCAGGGCTGGCTCATCGTTCCCCGGTACATGGACTATGCTAGATGGGTTCAGTTTGTAGTATATAGGAGGCAACAACACCTCGTTAGATACGGGCTCGGAGATGGGTGTTGGTAGTTGTTGAACTTCAACTGCCTCGAGCGCTGCATCTGTCTCTTGCTGGGATTGATCCGGTTCTGCCGTGTTGACCACATCTTCCACGGGCTCTGAGGGTAGCGACGGGGTGGATATGGTGAAGTACTCAGTCTCAAAGTCTTGAGCTGGATCATGTCGGATCTTGCCATGGACTATCCAAGGCAAAGGCTGTTGATCATTGAGCTTCCTCAGCTTCTCTGCACCACGCTCTCGAAGATCGTCATCGGCTTTCCGCTTCAATGGTTGTGTGACCTCTGGCTGAGCATCTTTGATACTCTGTGTCGCTCGGGCAGTGAGCGCGTCAAGCTCACTCTGAGCCGCTTCTTCGACAGCCGCCTCAGTGGTTGCGACAACGCCCTGTGGAAAGTGGAAGTCCTTGAGGTTGGGGTGATAATAGTAATCTGCCTCTTGCGCACGGAATCGCGGCGTATGCCCCTCTATGCGGCGACACCTGCGTTGAGCTCCGGTATTGGTGACATCTTGCAGCAACTTTGCGGCGGCTGGTGTCGGGTCTTTGGGCTTAGACGGCTGCGGCTCGTCTTCCCAGACTTTGAACTTCTTCTTGCTGTCTCGACCTAATGTCTGCTTTATAGTATTGGTAATGGACTTGGGTTGAGATGGTATATAGTCGACAGGGAGGGCGGTGATGTCTTTGTGGGGATGATCTCCGCCTGAGACGGGATCAATGCTTGATGGGTTTGCAGTGGGCGCAATCTGTGATCGCATCTCCTTCAGGTCGGATGAAGGGGGGGAACCAGGGCCGTGGACGGGATTGAAGTCGCCAGCGATACGTCGGCGCTTGGACCCATGGGCTTTCCTCGTGCGCTTATGTATAGTGGTGTCGTCGGGGTGGCGCTGTCCGTGTGGAGTGGTTGTCGGATCGTTCTCATCGTTTGATGGGCCGGCGCCAGGAAGGAAAACAGCTTGCTCTGGCGCAGTCGATGTCGAGCGGCGTCTCTTGTTGTGACGCTGAAGTGTAGGTGTAACCAAGGCGGGTATCTGGGTGAGCTGGTCGGCCATCTTGTCGGGGTGGACGGTAATGGCGAGAGTCTGCTGGTAATTGAACGGGATGGTTCTCGGTCGGAAGTGCGTGCGGTGGGTGTGTGAGCTGCTGGAATGTGAGGTAGTGATACCCGTGGATGAGAGAATAACGTCAGACCCCGTGATTTGGCAACAGTAGTCCCAATTTTGTTGAGTATTCACTTTGCTTATCGCCTGAATGCAATCACGAGTAGCTCGCGTAAGCGTAGCCCTGACAATCACTACACTTTGGCACAGCATTTGTGAACTGATTCATCCGGAGGTTGAGTACACCCTGACGGCTACATATCCCTCTCCAAGCTACTTCCATCACTTCACGCTACACCGTATACTTCAAAAACTTCAAAAGCATCGGACGCAAGCGTTTTTCCAAGGCCTCCAATGCCTCTGAGCTCGCACGATCAGGTCCAGAGCACTCACGCGGCGCCCTCTCGGTCTCCTAAGCCCGATCCTTTGCCGCCTTGTCCCTCCTCTCCCTCTCATAGCCCGCAAAGCGCTCGATATCCTTGGGCCACTGACCGAAATAATCCCAGTGATCCTTCGCGTACACGATCGCAAGCGCAAGATCGCAATCGAGGTCCATGGGCATGACGCGGTTCGCGAGCAAGCTGGTTAGGTACCGGTTTGGGTACTCGTCTTTCTTGGGGTCTAGCGGCGACAATGCATATACCTCGAGGATGTGGCGGTAGTTCGCGCTGGGATCTTTGCGCAGGAACTCTCTTCGCGCATCGTCTTGCTCGCGCTTGAGGGCTGCGGCGGTGGCGGCAATATAGATCTCCTGCTCGCGGGCTTTCTCGGCGTCGTGAGCTTGTTGCGCCCGAACGCGCTGCTCTGCGAGCTTGGCCTGCTGGATGCGACGGTCACGGGCGATGTCTTCGGGGCTCATCCGGTTGATAGATGCCGCAATCCCATTGGGTGACGCAACCGGTCTCATACGATTGTATGGCCCTGGGTTGAGAGGATCGTTGGTTTGACCGATGGGAGCGAACGGCGCAGCGGGAGGTGACATCGCATTTTGCGTCGTCATTTGCCTCTTGCCTGCATGTATGTCGCCTTCCGGGGCTTCTGTGGCCTGACGTTTCTGGCTCATGCTGGTGGGGTATGCTGCAGTATGCGCGGATGGCGATGAGCCTGGCCGTGTCGGTGAGGGTGGCAGCTTCATTTGTACATGCAAAGGGCTCTGTCTGGGTGGTGATTTCTGGTAGCGAGCGACGTCGTCCGTTGGTAGCATGCGCGGCTGAGTCTGCCTAGAAGCGAGAAAAGCGTTGTTCTGTTGATGATGTCGAATTCCGCTAGCGTTCGGTGCTTGCATCGAGCGTGGCACAATAGAAATAGGTGAGACGGCGCCCAGCGTCGCTGTATCTTCGTTTCGCGTAGGTGAGGATGCATTGGTGGATGCTCGCACTGCTGCCGTGCTCAGGGGCGAAGCGGTCGTCACCGAGGTGGCCATCGTCGAGGGTGCAGCCAGTGGGCTTCTGTTCATAGAAGGGCTCCGGGCCGCATTCTCTCGGTGTTGACTGTTCTCGCGCGGTACTTGCTGCTGCCGTCCTTGTTGCTGTCTAATACGCTGTATATGAAGGCGGAACCATTGTTGTTGGTCTGGTGGCGCCTTGTTGAACCACTGTCGTTGCTGGTCAGGGTTCGCCTTGCTGAGCCACTGTAGTCGCAACTGCTGATCAGAGAGCCTGCTCATCTTGTCTGCGGTAGTAATGATCGATGATATGTAGATGGGGAAGTTGATGATATGAGGAAGTTGTAATCGGTGATTGAGAAAGAAGAGCCGTGGAGGATACGAAGGAGAGACCGGGGCGATAGGCAGCTGACTCAAGCTATTGTCTTCGGCTCGCAAAAAAAGAGGTTGGTGAGAGGCGCCTTCACCTTATGTATTTTGCTATTGTGATAGCCACGGTCCGCGTCGCTCAATAGGGTCGCAACGTTCCAAGGTTGAGCTGCCCTCCTCCCGCACCACTATCGGCTTCTTCAAATACAGAGATGTCGCTCAATAATGGACAATAGTCAAGGCCGGTCAAATAGAAAATTGAATCCTACTTCTGATGATGGTAGCAGATCTCGAAGTCGTTGCGTTCACCTTCACTTCCCAACCACCGCTTATGACGACACTCTTTGGGACACTGGCAGCTATTACTTTTGCCAAGTTTGGAGTCTTCAGGTGACTAGATATTTCTAAAAACAAGGGCGAGGAGCTAGGTACCTGGGTCGCGAGCAAGGTCTCGAGAGTGCTTCCGTGGTGTGTCATTTTTCTTGCAAACGTGTAAGTGTCATGAAGGGATCAGGGAGTATATAGCGGTACGGCCAGATAGAATGGTCGGCGGCGACGTTGCCTACGCGACTCTGTTGACTTGAAGTTTGCAGTTTGGAATGGAGCTCGCTTTACCAAAAGGTAAAACACACACAAAGGAAGCAATTGGAAGATCGATCAATCGACAGGAGCAATCCGGCATCTCACAACTTGTTGTCCTTCTTCTGGTCTCTGACCTCTTGCGCCATCCTGACCATCGCATACAAACTCTGCAGGCGCGGCATCTCATAGCCCCTGTCCCGCGCAATCCTCAATGGATTGCCAAGAATGACCTCAATCTCCATCTTCTTGCCCGCTTCCCAGTCGATAGCCATGCTCGGTTTACTGCCGCTTGTGTTCTTTTGTGTAGATCGAATAATCTGATCGGGAGTCGCAAACTCCTTGGGCATGGGCTCCCCGAGGATCTTGGGTGCGGTTTCGAGGATCTCGGTCATGACGCCTTTGAGATGGCGCTGCAGTTCTGGGTCGAGAGACATAACGTTGTTCGGGAGGCAAAGGGTGAGGACCGAGGTTGGGTTCATGGAGGCGTTGATGGCGATCTTGTGCCAGCGGACGAGTTGCAGTTTGGCATGGCTGTAGGCTTCGGCGTCTTTGATGCCTCCTTGCCTCAGCATCTCGATGAACGCGTCATTCATCAAGACGACGCGTACGTCGCTATCTTTTCTGCTCCCGGTGTCTAGATGGGGCAGGTACGGTCCGCTGTTGATCCGCGTCCATCTGTTGTGCTTAATTTGGCCGTGCTCGGGTTGCGCGCAGGTTGCTATCGTGACCGCCGAACATATCGCAGCCTGTGGGAATCGCTTCGTATACGGTTCTTCTACGCCCAGACCGTTCTGTATCAGCACAATGGCCGTCTTATCGCTGACTAGCCCCTCAAGTATCGTCGAGTCATCGCTCACGTCGGGTAACGCTTTCGTGCTGACTACTATGAAGTCCCATTGTATGCCGCTCGCTCTTGCTTCGTCTGGGTTCGCGAAGGTGTTGGCCGGTACGAAGGTGTAATCGCCGTATTGCGGTGAGGTAACTTGGAAGCCGTCCGCTTTCACGGCTTTGTAGTTGGAGCGGCAGATGACCGAGACGGAGGTACCGGGAACAAGGGCAAGACGAGAGGCATAGAAGGCTCCAATGGCGCCGGCACCAACGATGAGGACGCTTGCAGACATTGTGAGGATGATAAGTTGACGGAGAGATGACGATGTCGACCCTGAACTTCGCAACCGTGCCTTATCGATAAGCGTCGCGATTGCCGAGGTTGCGATCCGCGTCCACGCTTCTTGTCCACCACCACCATCACTGACATCCGTCCGGGAACTGACCTTTTTGTAACAATATTTGTAAACCCCTCTATTAAATATAGAAATTCGTTTAACCAACGAGTCTACACCCCTGTCTAGGTCTATATGAGCCCTCGAAGCCAGATCTTACGATCTAAGCCGTAGCTGTACATCGAAACACGCCATCTTGACGCGTCTCAAGCCATCTATAACTTCGCCCACACAATGTGCCGTCTCACAACATTCTTCTCATAGTCGACTCGCTTCACGACTACCGCCTTGTCGACGCGACCCTTGCCGTTCGACTCATCCCCGATAGCGGCCCTTGCAGCTCCAGCCCTGTCATCGATCGTAAAAAGGAGACAGACGGCTACCATATGTGGATCATCCCCTTTGAAGATATTGATTTTCGACACATATTTTCCGCCGAGCTGGGCTTTGTGCTGCGCCAGGAAGTACCCAACGGCTTGTCCATTCGGTGATCCTTAGTTCACAGTCGAAGTCAGTAATCCAATCCCCAGAACGTTGAACCGATATACGACTTACCGAGCAAAGCGAGATATTCCGGCTCATCTGACCCAAACTCGCAGCCCGACCAGGTCATCAGCTCATCCAAATCGAGGCAGTTGTTTTCCAAGATCTTCTTGATTATGGCGACCGTCTCGTCGTTTATAACAGGCGTACTAAGGATATACTTGATGCCGCGCACGTTGTTCGGACTCGCCAAATTCCACAGTCCCCACATGATATCAGAGCTCGATTTCAGTGCGGGAAGCTCATCGTTGGGCGGAGGGTTGGTGAGGCCCCAGAGGGCTTCGGCGCTGGTCGCGGGGCTCTGACGATTGGTCATTGCAATGAGACCTGATGCTGGGTTTACGCCGATTACGAACTCGGCGTTGGTGACCTGCGAAGAAAAGATGTCGTCAGTAAGACATGCATGGGCCGTCATCTTCTTTTACCTACACGATAGTATTGGTCGTTGGCTTTATACCACTGCTGCTTGACGGGTGGAAGATCTCCCTGATTATCGCGCCGTACTGCCGGACCGTCTTTATGGTTAATAAAGTAACACTGATTAGGTCCACCCTGGTAGGTACTACGCGTATCGATCCTGAGGTCATCGAACATGCTCTTGAGCTTGTGGCTGTGCTCGAACTCGCACTCATCCCCATGACTTGCGCGGAATTGGGGGGTGCCATCATCACTCTCGATTTTGTAGCCCCAAGTTTCAAGCTCCTATTGGATGGGGTTGGTCCAGGGGCTATCGATCGGGTTGACAAAGGCGGCTGCTGCGTCATGTGGAGAGGTTGTTGCTGATAGCAGCTTTTGGCCTTTGCATGTGGCTTTGTGGTATATGACTTCGATATCGTCAACGCGAGCGACGAGGCCGTGAGAGGAACGGGGAGGAACATCGGGTCGTTGGGGATGCGGAGGAACCACAGTCAGGCTCTGTACAAGAGCTGTCAGCGCCAGGAGACAGAAGATCGCCAGAGCCTGCATACTTAGGGTTCGGTTTACCTGTACGTGTAGCAAGTAAAGCAGTCAAGAGAAGTCTGACCTCCGGTCTAAGTAACTGCACGGCTCGAGCGTTACCCACATATTCGTCTTTCACTAGGTAACTATCCCACAACTCAGCCCCACTCAGCTCTTGCCATGAGAAAATTTCCTACGAAGAGTTCAACGCGGTCTGGAAGCGCAGTGATAGCGTCGTACGTAGTTATCATATCGTCCTCGCGTACAGGGTCAATCGCATGGTGTTAACGATATGTCCAGATGTTGTAGGAGGAACAGAAGGTGAACAAACAATATCTATAGGTAACATGAGCGTGCGAGAGATAAGCACTATCAGTAATTAACCCTTTTCCGACATGTATAATACCAGACTGCAGCGCCCAATCACACCACATCCAAAGTGCAGTACGCTCTGGGAGCCTACCGCCTTCCACACTGCCAGGGACCGATCGGACGGAGGGCACACTGACTAACAGAGTTTCCAATGCTATCAGCGCAGTCGTTGTAACAAGGGCCGTAATTCTCGAGTGTATTCTAGAGACGTCAAGGTTGGAGAGTTGTTTTGGGAGGGCATGACCAGCCAGATTTGGACTAGTGCGCCCAACATCGCGACGCGAACTTCCAACGTCAAACCTCTTCGCATCATCACTCACGCCCCACGGCGACCATCACCAGCTACTTTACGCGCGCTCGTGGTATCTCCACACCTTCGCCGTCAAACCTGGAACGTTCGCAACTGCATTCTGGCTGGTCTCGTACAACGCGCCCGTTGATCATAGGCCAGAGCCCACCTGGGCAGTGCAATGCCCGCCGCACGAGACTCGTCGGATTTGGCAATCATCGTACCTTAGGTGAATACATGCATATATGTTGGCAGATCACAAAAATAGATGTCTCGCAGTAAATGGGTGGCGAAGCACTTTCTAGTTAGTGGTGTCCACCATCCTGCTGTGCAGGTCATTGTGCGCATAGGTAGTGCTGTCTAAGATGTCTCCCCTCCTCTTTCGTAATTTCTCTCACCTCCATCGGGATTTCTTATCCGTCTCACCGCTCAATAGAGCGACTGCGGACGCTTTCAGGCCATTGAGTACTGGTTGCCACGTTTTTCAGCTGAAGCCTCGTGGGCATCTATCATGAGGACATGACCAGGCTGCCTTTTCTATCTCTATATATTCTAGCCTTTGCTGCTTCATCTCTTCTCTTCCTTCATCCTCATTGTATCTCATCGCTCATTACGCACGTTGCTGCATCAAGACTATCATGCCCCTCACTACATCCATGCATGGGCGGTTCACAATCATCAGTACGATGGGAATGATCTCCTCTTGTGGCTGCAAGAGCGGACCCGCACCGCCCGTATCTCCTTGAGCTTCATGGTGAGTATGTTATCTTCACGGTGAAGTCATGTCGGTGAATTGACTGAATCAAGATGTGCAGCAAGTTTCACGTTGACCAGATCACCGGTGCTGTCTCTTGTTGTCTTTTCCGGTGCCTGTAGCAGTGGGCGCGCGCCCTCAACATCTCCTCGAGCCTCATGGTGAGTATGCCGTCTTCGCGGTGGACTGCTGAAGTCATGTTAGTGAACTGACTGAATCAGGAAATGCAGCAAGTTTCATGTTCACCAGGCGACGGTTTACGGTGCAGTCTCTTGTTGTTATGGCATATGGTGAGTGTCCGAGCGCCTGGGAACAACAAACTCGGCTACAATTTTGACTATCCCATCCCAGACCACGCTACTCAGCACCATGGCTGAACACAACGAAAGCCCCCAGACTTTCATGCCGATCAGCCAGACGTCTAGCCGGACCTCAATGTTGCCTGCAACAACATTTTCCAACGCTAACATGTCATCCAATGTAGCAGCCTACTTCGAGGACGAGGTCGAGCCGCAGGTTCCGATGCCTAACTTCGCCTACGCACACCAAGACTTTACGAGCAGAGCATCTAGCGTCAACGATGCCTACCAAGGCAGCTCACCAAAGAGATACAGTGTCGGTCGCGAGCTCCCTAGGTATGTTCACACCATTGGTCACCGTTGACCTTGATGTTCCATCACACCTTCATTGTTTGGAGGTCTGCCATGGCAACGGCATGTGGAAGAAAACATTGCTAATTCTTCACTTTACAGCGAGTCGATCTTTCCGCCATTCGAGCACATGAACCAACCGCCTTTGGAGCCGACAATGGCGCAGCAGGAGTTCGATCCCAGCATGGCGAACCCTTTCTACGACTACAATCCACCAAGCAGTGAGTCTCCCTTATCCAAAACAACTCATGTATCCGCCAGACTGACTGATTACCTTAGAATTGGGGGAGATTGAGGGTCATGTAGACCTCAGCAGCAACATTCGTGAAGTCGTCAACAGCCTTACAGCTCGCATGAATAAGGCCGAGTCGGAGGTCTCGGAGTTGCGAGAGACTGTCGTCCAGCTTGGTCTGGCAGCATTGTCGGCTCCAAGCACCCCGGTGAAGAGCGTTCCCGCACCGTCCAAGACCTTCGAATTTCTCAACACCGGTCTGCAGGACCAGGAGACCTTCGAAACCAAGATTGTCGGCAGCAACCAGAAGAAGAAGGCTACGAAGACTCATGCCCGCAAAGATCTCCAAGTCAAAATCCCCGGCATCAAGATCCCTACCATCGCCCCGCTCCCCTCTGGCCAGCCAGATGTAAGTCCTACACGTCCATGTCTCCACCATCGTGTACTAATAGCGAACAGTCCGGCTACCTTACCGGCGGCATGATGTCTATGTTCCCGGCTACACCAACGTCTGGCGGCCTCCCAAGCTCACCTCTCACCCCCGGTCGCGTCGGCCCGCCCACCCCTAGCAAGCGTGGCAACAGTGGTAATACGTCAATTGCCAAGCGCAAGGCCCACGTCGCGCGAGGGAACATGGCGCCAGCCTTCGTCGTCGTTCCTCAAGTCCCTCTGACTGACACCGAGCTCATCGTGTACTTCTTCCAGTCTGTCGGCCGCCCAACCGTCGCGCTCCGCCTCTACTCGCGCAAGTGGGGCCCCGCGCAGATGGTCGAGACGCTGAATGCCCACCGCAACCTCGAAGGCGGTTACCTCCGTAACACCTGTTCCGTCAAGTGCATCACGGCTATCAACAAGGGCAAAGAGAAGTACGGCGTGAACTGGGCTGACAACTTCCGCGATGGCATCGAGAACGCCAACGACCTTATCGCCACCGACCTGATCCGTTATCCTCACGATGAGTTGGAAGGCGTCCTCGACTACGACATCCGCTATCTCGGCAACGGTCTCAAGAAGCACCCCGAGCAGGGCGTCGACGGCGGCATCTTCACCCGCTGCGTAAAGTACTGCATCAAGCACGACGCCAGTTACGCACTGTCCAACGTCCACGAGCTCGCCTGGGCACTGCAGACAGGTCAACTCACCGATGAGGAGGAGGCTGCTTAATCTTGTTTTGAAGCATACATGGTTGTTTTGAAGGAGATTTGTTTCCGGAATAAGTGGTTGTATACTGCAAAGTAAGATTCTGGGTGAAGTAATACATGGTGGATGGGACGTAGCTATAATGAATTCATTCCCGAAAATCTGACTTGTTGTGTGTTCTGTGAGTGAGCCGGTATGTCCTCGACGTTTTTTCCATAGGAGGTAGGAAAAGTTATGAGGTATCGTATACCTCAACGCTCTTCTTTGAGTCTAGCGATTACGCATATATAACGCATCGTAGACCTCCCCGTTACGTTATCAAAAATGTCTGCTCATTGTTAAGGCAATGTAACCTTCAGGCACTACCATAATTCTCCTACCAAACGCTACCATCCCAAGTCCTAACCACTCTCCACCAGCTCATGCCCTACCCAACTTATCTCAACCCATCAGCATCCTCAGCATACCGCCCTTATCCTCTGATCCCCCATCCGCAACCCCCTTGCCCGCATCCTTATCACCCTTATTCGGACCCACGGGACTCGTCGCTGCAAAGAACAGCACTTTGATCGCAATCGCAAACCCGGCATGCAGCACAAACACGACAATAAGCAGAATCTTGCTCGTCTTCGCTTCGGTGGTGCTGAGCACAGGGTAGAGGTTGCGGAGGAGGAAAAACGCCGAGGCCGCGAGTCCGAGGGCTACGACTGTGAAGTTGAGGACTGTGGTTTCGTTAGTACGCTACCTCCCGTGAGAAGGAAGGAAGAGGGAGAAAACTCACTACCCCAAGGACTCCAAGCCACAAGACTAACCGCAATCCAAACCAAATTCGCATACCCATACAAACAAGCACACTCCATCAAATTCGCACTCTCACTCCCATACCACTTGAGCACACCCCACAACCCCACAGGCACAAAAGCCGTATACCCATACACCAGCCCCGCCGCTCCACTCAGCAACTTGAAGTCATACGCAAAATGCTCCTCGCCCTTCTGCGCCAAGTATTGATTAATCGTTCCGGTCAAAAACAGAATGACAATGACGGTTGTGGCGATCCATACAGGGCCGTATAAGTCCGGGTTCCCCTCGAGCACGTCGAGGAAATTGGCGCGCGGGTACAGGGTGGATGTGCAGCGGCGGAGCACCTCGGCGGTGTCGACGTCGAAGGCTTGGGCATAGAAGTTTAGGGACCAGAGGTAGTGTTTGCGCGAGGTGGGCGATGTGGAAGACGTCGAGGGGCCGGGGAGGAAGGAGCCGCTCGTGGAGTCGGGTTGGATTTTGGGGGCGCCGCGGCCGGTGGGTTGGGTGTCGAAGTCTGCGTGGGAGGGTTAGTTGGTGCTTGGATATATATGATGGAGAGGGGAAGCTTACTGGAGCTGTGGAATTCGAGGTCTTCTTGCAGGTCGGTATGGCCTAGGTCGCCCTGGGGTTTGGTAAGCTTGCCGTCTTGAGCTGGATGCTGGGGGCATGTGCGCTTTTCTGCGTCGCATCCCCTGGGGTACGTACCTCTTGGTCAACGTCTACGACGACATCGTAGCCTCGGTTCGCCATGATTGCTTGTGAGTGAGGGCTGTCGATATGTCGCGAGCTGGCGTCGAGCTGGCCAGATTGCGGTTGACGTACGTCGCGCGACGCGACCGTGCGCTAGGTTCATTCGGAGCAGGCGTTTCAGGGTCCAGCTCGCTCAACACCATGACAATGTCAGAGAGCACATGCATCTTCACACGACTACTAAGTCATCCTGTCGCAACGAGTTTCTCATTATCATCGTAAATGTAAGGCATCGGATCTAAGGTTCTATCATCGCAACCATCTAAGATCTACCAGAAAGCCACCGATATGTACCATCCCCGCAGTTACTGTCTACGGCGCAGGCTCGCTCTTGACCTGCAGCGGCTCGACGTTCCAGATAGCCTCCGCATACTCGTCAATACATCTGTCACTTGAGAAGAAACCCATGCGCGCGACCGTCGTGATGGTCTTGGTTGTCCACTCCTCAGTGTTCTTGTAGCTCTCATCGATGAGCTCCTGTGTCTTGATGTACGATGCGAAATCGTCAGAGACAAGGTAGTAGTCACCATGATCCACGATGCCGTTGATCAGAGCAGAGAACTGGTCCGCATCGCCAAACATGCCATTGTGAATCGCATCGAAAACGTTGGCAAGCTGGGGGTCCAGCTGGTACTGAGAGTACATGTGGTTGTGACGGAGGTCCTCGACATCTTCGGCAAGGTTACCGAAGAGGAAGATGTTCTGTTCGCCAATCTCGCGAGTAATCTCGATGTTCGCTCCGTCGCAGGTTCCGATGATGAGACCGCCGTTCAGGCAGAACTTCATGTTACTGGTACCCGACGCCTCAGTACCAGCAGTAGAAATGTGCTCGCTAATGTCGCTAGCAGGGCAGATGATCTCTGCCTTACTAACGTTGTAATCGGCCAAGTAGACAACCTTGAGAGCGTCGCCGACATCTTTGTCGTTGTTGACAACATCACCCACCTTGTTGACGAGGTGGATGACTGTCTTGGCCATCCAGTAACCTGGTGCAGCCTTACCACCGAAGATGGACACGCGAGGAGCTAGCTTCTTGCGATCTTCGGGAGACATGGCCTTGATCTGGAGGTAACGGTGGATCACACCGAAGATGTTGAGCTGCTGGCGCTTGTACTCGTGAATGCGCTTGACTTGGACATCAAACAGCGCTGCCGGGTTGACCTTGACGCCGTTGTTCTCCAGGATGTATTGTGCGAGTCGCACCTTGTTGGCGTACTTGATGTCGCGGAACTCCTTGCGGAACTCCTTGTCGTCAACAAACGCCTCTAGCTTGTTCAGCAGGGTGAGGTCCTTCAGGAACTCGTGACCGCCCAACTTTGACGCAATAAGCGCCGAGAGCTTGGGGTTGGCCTGGTGGAGCCATCTCCTCGGGGTAATGCCGTTGGTGACATTGGTGAACTTATCCTGTCCGTAGATCTTGACGAAATCCTTGAAGATGGTGGTCTTGATCAAGTCGGAATGTAGCTCGGCTACACCGTTGACCTTGTGTGAGCCAATCAAAGCAAGGTATGCCATGCGGACCATCTTTGGGTTCGATTCTTCGATGATGGAAACACGGCCCAGCATCTCGCGATCCTTGGGAAAGTTGCGCTCAACGAATTGGAGGAAGTGAAGATTGATTTCGTAGATGATCTTCAAAAGTCAGCAAGGTCTCAAGAAATCAGGCGATTGAACATACCTGGAGGTGGCGCGGGAGGAGGTGCTGCATGAGCGGTACAGACCACTTCTCGAGCGCCTCAGGAAGCACGGTATGGTTAGTGTATCCAAACGTCTTCTGAACAACTATATGCTGTTAGCATCCAGGTTTGGGTATGAGGGTAGATTCTGCTTACTGCTCCATGCCTCGTCCCACTCCAAGCCCTCGATATCGACCAATATCCTCTGAAGCTCGGGAATGGCCAAGGTCGGGTGAGTGTCGTTGAGTTGAATCGCGACTTGGTTGGGGAATTCCTTCCAGGCGCGCTGGCTCTTCTTGAAACGTCGCACGATGTCGTAGAGCGAAGCTGCGCACCAGAAGTACTGTTGCTTCAGGCGAAGCTCTTTACCGCGGTCAAGGCTGTTGCTAGTCAGACATGATATCTCATAACCATGGAACTACTCACTTGTCGTTGGGGTAGAGCACAGCGGAGATGGTCTCAGCGCGCTGCTGGTCAGCTACAGAGCTCTCGTATTCGCCAGAGTTGAACTTCTGGAAGTCAAACTCGCCGCTGGCTGCCTTGCTGCCCCAAAGGCGGAGGTTGTTGCAAGTGCCAGTCTTGTAGCCAGGAACTTTACTTGTCAGTGAAAAGGTGAGAAGTGATGGAAGGACTGCTTACCGGGAACGTCAAAAGCAACAGCCTGGACAATCTCGCCGCCCTCCCACGAGCACTGTTGCTTGCCCTCGTCGTCCTGCCAGCGGTTGACGTTGCCGTAGAACTGGATATCAACGACAATGTCGTGGCGCTGGAACTCCCATGGGTTGAAGTCCAGCCAGTAGTCTGGAACCTCGACCTGGTATCCATCGACGATCTCCTGCTTAAAGATACCATATCGGTACCGTAAGCCGTAGCCCCAGGCTGGGTAGTTGAGAGAAGCCATCGAGTCGAGGAAGCAGGCCGCAAGACGTCCGAGACCACCGTTTCCTAAGGCAGCATCATGCTCCTGAGATACAATGTCCTCCATGCGGAAGCCGAGGTCGCTGAGACCCTCTGCATGTGTGTTAGAGAAGCAATCGCGAGGTCCTAAGAGGTGGACTTACTGGAAGCGATATCCTTCTGCTCAACGTTGAGCATGGCATTGTCCAGAGCGCGGCCCATCAAGAACTCGAGGGAGAGATCTGAATTTATTAGAGGTTGTTCTACCAGCAAATTTCCCACTAGTCTCACAGTATACACGCTTCTGGTCAGCAAAGGTCTGACTCTGCTGCGTCTTGTTCCAGTCCAAGACCAAGCGATCCCTGAAGGCGAGGGCAGTTCCAGCGTAGGCAGCAGACTCGTCGCAGTTGAAGAGGGAGCGTGCGAGGGTAGTCTCGATATGGCGAACAGCGTCTTTCGTAAAGTCGTCTGGCGTCGAGAAGGGCTTGGGCATCTATGCGTGTGTTAGTGTTGAGAATCATCCTTGTACTATGATTGAGGATCCAATTGACATACAAACTTTCTCCATGCCTCGCGCTGGGGCTCTGGGATGCTCGCTTCTACGTTCTTGATCTCACTGGGGCCAAAGCCAGTTACCGTCCTCTTGTGCTTGGGACGGGTGAATGAAGGCCCAACGGGACCCTTGAGGTCACCGAGGGGAGCGCTGGTCGAGGGCTTGCGCTCGCGGGGGGAAGGGTTTGCGGCCATCTTGATAATGTCAATTGCTGAGAAGCGCGAGTTGCTTAGGAAGTGTCGATGGGAGAGAGGAGATGGCGGGGTAGAGGGGCGTATGGCTGCCGCTTGGAGGTAAGAGGCGCAACCGCAGGAGGGTCAGGGCGATGTGATAGGGCGGACAAGAGCTGCAGGCTTATGAAGACGCCGCAGAAGTACCTCAGACGTGGTGTTTGCTACGCGCCAGACAGGAAAGAGGAGCGGCAGCAACGGCAATGGCGTGTTTACAGGGCGTCCGGGTGGAGTAAGACGGGCGGAGATCAATTGAACATCACAGCAAGGCCCCCAGGATTATATCAGGAGAGCAGGAGCGACTAGCTAGCGGATCGCGGGGAAGGAGCACTCCTGGCCAGGCTGACAGCTAGCAACAAGCTGTTGAGCTCTCCCACATACAAGCTGTATGCAGCATCTCGCGGAGCCAGTACAAAGTGGGGTAGCCGACCCCACGATGCCGTCGCGGAGCAGTTAGCGGGGTCGTGATGGAGGTGTTGTCCAATAAACTTGTGCATGCTGAGCCTTTAGTGTGTTTGTTGCGCGTCGGAGCGTGATCTCCATCATGGCCAGAACCAGACGACGTGACGTCTTCAACCCCTCCATACCAACAACACCATGCTGGCGTAGCGAGAGCAACCAACATCCAACGATAGATTGCGCAACAAGCACAAACTTCAATCTCGAAAATTGATAGACATGAAGGAAATGTGCACATTCAAGCTGCAGCCGGCGCGGATCTTGTCGGAACAGGGAAGACTATGTTGATGCTGCAGCCCCACCATCGTACGTTGGACTGATCACTGTAAACAAAAACTTCAAAATGTCGTGATATCTGCACACAATCTTCTCGCATAATCTTATGAACATCTCACGCGATTGCGACGAATCCCCGTCACGTGTATGAGCTGCTCGATACGAAGTGCCAATGTAGATTAAACCCGTCTTTACATACCACGTCAATAGGGATAAATATCAAACAAGCGCAGTCCTCGAACCTCCTAGCTGGTATTACACAAATAGCGTACTCAAAACATGAAACACAGACCATTGGCATCAGGCCACCAAACCCACTCAACTCCACCCTGAAACAAATATATACGAGGTGACAACAAGCCTGTTGTCTACACAGAGGAAAGCCTGATCCATGCCGAAGAACGCCGAGAGATGCGCATCGCGAAAGATGCCAAAAGGATGTGGGTATCGTGAATGTACGCAGCAAAACGATTAAAAAGAGTCGAAGGAACGGAATTCGTTGCTCGTCCATGGGAGACCGCCGCTCTACGGGCTGGGCTCTGGGGTCTGAACGCCGTAGCTCCAGATGGCTGTGCCATGCAGGCTGATGGAGAGGTTCCGTCGTTGCTTCATCACGGTCGTGATAGGGGTTGATGCGGCTGCAGGAGCTGTGCTGGGTCGCTGCATGTTCTTCAGTCTCCACTGCACCATGTCGTTGGAGATGCGAGCAAGGCCATAGTCCATGTCCTGCAGGATGGCCCTCCTCGTGGCCTCGATCTCCTGCACGGTGAAAGCACCGTCGCTCTCCCTGATGCTCCAGTGCCGTGAGGAGCGCTGTCGGTCAACGAGGAAGCCGTGCGCGAGGGAAAGAGCAGCCAAGACAATCACGTCTGGGCTAACACGCACGTTCTGACGCGAGTCTGTCATCATGAAGTTCTTCAGGTCGCGGGCATAGTCGCTCGGGGCAAGAGCATCCCGCCAAGTAGCTGCGAACCGGCTGCTCAACGCATCCAGCACGCATCCCGCAAAGGCGACAATCTCATCCGGCAGGCCAGCACGGTCGAGGAACCCTTGAATGACCGATGCATGAGGGCGGTGGGTGGAGACGTTGAGCGGAACGAGGTTGGCAAGGTGGGTTGCGTATACTATAGATAGCAAGTCAGCGGACCGAAGTCAAGGAAGTGGCAACGGCATTGATCTTGGGTGAAGGGGTGCTGGTTGATCGACAGGCACACGTCCGAAATGTGGAGATGGACTGTTGAGTTGGAAAAGGAGCATCTGGGATGAAGCATGACGAGGGCCAAGGCGCTGTATGCAGGGGAACGTCGCTCTGCCGCCCGGACCGACTCATACACACCAGCATCCACAAACCCGTAAACAGAGATTTGGTGGGTGTGAGGTAATAAATAGACTAACCTTTTGGTTGTGGAGGGCTGCTCATGTCATATGACTGTGTTGATGTTTGGGCGGTTGGCGTTGATACTCGCGTGGGTGTGGGCTCCTTTGCTGGTGGAGGGGTTGGCAGGTTGGACAGCGGAACGCAGCTCGCAAAGTACTTGTCCAGCTCTTCGTCTGTCATGTCGCTGTTGACGGACAGGGCTGGCGAGTAGTCCATTTTGTCGTGTTTTGTTTTTCCAAGTTGAAATGTTGTGTTCTAACGGTAGTACAGCGGTGTCGGCGAAGTGTAAGCGAGGGAAGGTTGGAGAGTTGGTCGTGTGATGTTATGGTCGTGAGTCGAAGAATAATGAAGCGTCGTGAACCAAGCAGGCGAGCTGGAAATGTCGTCAGAGGGGAGAAGAGCCCCAAGTGTGAGGGCATTCACGAGTCTATATACACGCCCACGTTCCGACCAAGAAAACCGAGACGGTGAAAGCGGCGGATGGGTAGCGTAACTCGCTAGCTGCACCCCTGCACTTTCCCAAGACTCAGTAGCCGTCTCCCTGCCGTGCCACCTTCACAGGCGCGCACGCTCTCCCGCTCAGGCCAGCGCCAGCTACAACTTGGCCGTATGCGCCATCGCCAGGGCTACCGATGGCGTGTGCGGCTGCCCGAATGATGGCAGTGTGCAGCCGCCTGGTAAGAACGCCCAAGGTTGTTCCGCGTGCGCTGTACATGCAATGTCGTGATGTCGAAACTATACGGCTGTAAATCGAGGCCCAGGTATACAGTGTGCCCATGTTGCGTGATCTATATTTCCAATCTAATCTTGTTTCTCCAGATCTTCATCCACTCCATCACGATCAGCACTCTAACGACATCATCTGCATATAGCGGGACAGCAGGGACACTTCATCTGGCAGTTGCAATACCGACACAACATAAACTTTGTCGTAGACACAACCAATCTCGCAAACCGCCTTGCCGGAAAAGCTTATGCCCCGATCCCATCCAATCGTCAGATGCTTCCCAGCCCGGCGCCGAGTCGCCTGTGAGCACTACTGCGAGCATTATTGCCTATCCACAAGTTCAATCCACTGCGAAACAAACCATCACACTTTTCACCCGTAGTTCCGACTGCAGAATCTTTTGCACATGTCAAACTCTATCGATCGCATCGCCGCTGTCAATTGCCCTGCATTAGGATCTGTACCCTCGTCACGCCATCACGCCGCTGGAGGGCACCCGAGTACGTAGCCAGCACCTGTTCCCTCACCGCCATGTTCCGCACTCTCGAGCACGCACACTACACGATACGATGCGGGTGCTCGGAACCATGTTATCTCCGTCCCCAAGCTCGCAAAAAGGGGACAATGTAGACGACAGCGCGCCGCGAACCCCACATCCAAGCTCTGGGGGCGCAGTCCTCCTAACCCGTCTTCAGCACCTCACCCGCTCGCCCTTGCGCACTTGACCCGTCAACACCAAATCTGCTCGCAGCACGAGTCGTCGTATCTGACTCCCCAGGCGAATACGTAGCAGCCCGCCCGAACGCCCTGACTTGCTGGCGGAATTTCGGCTTCGGCGCCTCGTATCAAGCGGTCCATCGCGTCTATTTTCCCCGATGCTATTACGGGGCCGGTGGAGCAAACCAATATCGCGCACAGAGAAAATATTCGCACAGTCGACAAATTCCATCTTTAGCATCCGTGGAGTCGTGAAACACCATTTGCCCGGTAGCTCCAGCATCTTTACGAGCTGCGCCCGACTAATGCTATCGATTGCGCTAGCTTTGTACGAAGCAGCCACCGCCCGCCGCACTCCCAGGAACCCGTTGCTACGAGTCTGCAGACATTGTCGTCATGGCCGTAGCTTGCATCTCCGATCCTTGATGATGGAATCTTTCCTCAACACTGTGCGTGGAGGGCCACGTACAGGCAATCAAGAAGCTTCGGAGTCTGGGCCTAGGTCCAAAGGCTCCACTCGCATCCTCTTTTCGCACTCAGCACCATGCACCCTTTTTGCTTCTTGCTGCATGATCGAGACACTTTCACAAGTCCGAGGATTGGCTCACGGACGCTGACAGATGTCATGGCTCACCGATGGACGCTGCCGGCGTTCTCCTACGGCCGGCAAGCCACGACCAGTGACCATTTCTTCAAATCATCAACGCCGGAATCTTCTGAAACACAAGGGTTTAAACTACCTCTACACAATTCTTCTAGTGTATGAACACCCGTTTGGTTCGAGAGCGTCATCCTGTGGCGTAGGGTCCTCCCGAAGATTCTAGCTGTTCTCGATCTCTTTAGCTCGCCAGAGGACGACCGCGTCTAGATCCTCCACCACCGTCACACGGACTCCTGTGGGGGTTTTCATGGCTATGGCAGCTGGTGCTGTACCTGCATGCTCAACACTATGGGCGCGGATTCCAAATACTTCGGGTTGCAGTTGTGGGGAGCGCTCTGACTGCACCTAGATCCAGCTACGGCAAGCCATGCAGTCACTCATCTGGACTATATGACAGGCCGATGGACTATGTCCTGCGCCTAGAACATAGGCGAAGTATGACTGAGAGTCGATCGGATCTCCTTGAGACGACAGTCATCATGTACACTGATCACGCAATGTTGATGACCCGCCAGCTCGCGCAGTTCTCGACACTTTCACAACCTCATTCCACATATTTGTGAACACGATACACACATCTTATATGTATCACTTACTGTACAGCAACTAATGGCATGAACAGGTCTTCGCCAAAACGGTAAGCCACACATGTCTGAGTTCGTTTCCTGCACTCGTCATAGCACCTATAGCAACTCCATCACGATGCACGTTTCCCTCCCGTCAACGGGCCGAAGTCCGCAAAAAGCAAGAACACACCACGTTCCTCTCGCTGGGAGATCATCCGTTATAATCTACACCGTTATCTTTGCAGGGTACAATGACTTTTTTGAAGTAGTGTTTGTCAATACATGTGGTGAACATCATGTTTAGTCCTAAGTAGTAGTCTCGTCTCGTCATTACCAAGTTCTTTAGTTACGATTCCTGTCTCCGATTGCCGCATGACAGCGAATACAAGCATACACACACCCACTCACCTCTTCAAGCTCCAGCTCCAGCTCAACGACGTATTTCCTTCTTTCTCAAAGTCGGTTGGCCCCGCATCGTTTCCACAGTACACCACATATCCAAAACGCAGATAAAAACGTACGACACAACAACGGCTATACCGGCAGTCAGGCGGTGATACTTTCTTTTTCGCCCAAGGCTGACAACACATACATTCATGCCAAGTCGCAGGTAACGTGATGGTGTCATACAATGACATAGCAGCAGCATACGGCATGGCATGTAGGAGTGTACGGTGTATACAGTGTGTACGCTTAGCAAGATACGGTGAAGGACATGAACCCATGAGACCACAGAATCCGCACGCGCATGTATGCCTGCTGCCGGGAGGTCCAAAGATGGATGACCGTTACAACTATGAATTTGTCGATATCGGCAGTTGATACATCACCTCGACCACGTTGCGGGATCCATTCTCCTCCACCTCGACTCGTGGGCCTACTTGGTGTTGTTTTAATTCCCTGGCACATAAAAGCACGGGTCAGCGATTATCATGGCATTGCGTTGTAGATGGATAGTAACTTCCGGGTTTAACTCCATCATCACGTTCTAAACCTTGGAAGCATCTACACCTGCTTAATCTCTCGTTCTTGTCACTGATACGACACCTAGTAACTTTGAACCTTTATTCCATGACACATCAGAAGCGTCACCGCGTATACGTGACTTTTTCTATACCGCACCGGAAGAGCAAAGCTTCAAGACTGACTCCATGGTCGCTTGGAGAGGTCTAGTTGGAAGAACCAATTGGAGTGGAAAAGCTGTTGACAAAAACGTATGACCACGGCATCGAGCCAAGGTGCCAGAGCATCGTGATGAGAAGGGACAACAACAACGCATCAATCTCATGACAACTAACATGCGCGGAGTCCGCAACCCTTCATGACACTACAACCAGCAAAGTCACATGCACAAACGAACATCAATAACGATAACGAACATTGATTTGTACTGCAATAGCGAACATGATAACCGACCAAAAACACCACGCTTCTCCATGGATACAAGGAGTAGTCAACCCTTCCTACCAATCAATCCACCGCGACCACGACGACCACCTCATCTTCCAACTCATACTACTATCCTACCATCCACTCAGACTTAACCAGCCTCGCACATTTGGGATATCGTTAAACGACCAGATTCCACCTCACGCACTTTTCTTTCCTTTCATCGTCCACAAGCGACGCAAACATGTCTATTGTCTTCTTCGTCATGACTGCCGTACCGTCGTCGAGATTCGCACCATGATCCTCCAACACGTATATTGTCGTGCGCTATTGAAGGCAGGCACATCGTTGCAAATAGAGCGAAACGCTTACTGGGCCTTCTTGGGGGCAGCGCCGGGCTGACCACCAACGTACCTGCGGATGTCGGTCGCATCAGCAGCCTGGCGAACAATGTTCTTAAAGGTTCCCCAGCCCTGCTTAGCAGCGGGGGGAGTGCTCTGGTTGGCAAGCTGAGCGTCAATGCGGGCAGTGAGCTGGTTGATAGCCTCCTGGACGAAGCTGCTCTGCGCAACGCGAGCGCGGAAGAAGACGGTGTAGACAGCGAGGAGGATCCAGGAGCCCTTCTGGAAGAGCATGGCAGAGCCGAGGACGCGGAACCACAGGAAGATCTCGAGCAGGGCGACAAGAGTCATGGAGCCATCGTAGTACTCCTTGACGAACTTGCCAATAGCCTCGGAGGCAGCGGAGCCTTGCGGCTTGGCGCCGGCCGCAGCCGCAGGTGGGGGCTGGATGGTGGGCAGAAGGTTGGAGCGCACGTAGGTAGCGACGTGGAAGACGGAGTATACGGAGAAGGGGAGTATGGCAAGGGGGATCTGGCGGGAGAAGAGCCACACAAGGCCCATGACTACCAGGCGGTTAGCACGTGCTGCGCGGAGACGAGGCGACAGCTCGCAGAGGACTTACTCAAGTATTGGACGTTCTCATCGGTAGCGAGAGCGACGACACCACCCTGCTTGCCTGCCCTGATGCGGGCGCGGTAGGCCTTGTAGACGACAATACCGTATGTGACGCATGCCGACAGGAAGGCGGTGCGGTAGGAGAAGGACGCCCATCGCGAGTAGTAGTTGAAGGTGATGTACGACAAGCTGTATCGCAGGGTAGCGAGCAGCAGCGTAACGTGTCCGGCGAACCAAGCAAACTGCAGAGTCTGGGCGAGGGCAGCAAGGCGCTGGCCCAAAGGCATAGAGGCGGGCGGTGGAGGGGCCATTGTGTGTATTTTGGGTACTGTCGTGTGGGCTACGTAATGGGTAGCTTGGGACGTCAGCAAAGGTCGGAAAGATAATGGCAGCTCCCAATGTAGAGAGAGATAAATGACAGCAATGATCTGCTGCCCGTGGAAGGAAGTGGAGGTGCAATGTGTCCACAGCGGTGGCTGGGTGCTGCGACTGCTGGAACTGCCCAGCGTTCGGGCCCGCTCGTGATGTTCGCCGTGCCTGATAGGCGGGGTCGACTTACCGATGCAGATATCGGGTCCGGGACCTCAGTGACGGTGCTCAGTGCTTGCGGAGAGTAAAGGCGCGGGGGAGTGAGAGCAGAGCAATGGTGGTTGTGTGTTCCTAGAGAGGTAGGAGAGCGGGCGGCAGTAAACCAGAATTCGGGCGTTTGGGGGGTGACGACATGGCAAGCTGCAATTCTGGGTAGGCACAAGCCCCACTGCACCTCTAGCGCAAACATAACCCTGACGATCTCTCAGCCGCCAGCAAGGCCTCCAGCTGCCGGTCTCTTCACACGCTCGCAAGTGTCTGGCCAGCAAGCACGATGTCGTCACTCTTGTTTCTTCGCAAAGTTTCGTGTGTTTGTTGGGAAACATCACTAGCAGTGCCTCGTTTCGCTTTTAGCCCACAAATGAAATTGCCTTATGATAGTCTGTAGAATACATGAAAAGAACCTGTCCGACACTCCTCGCTCCGAACTACATCTGCCGAATACTAAATAAGAGAAAATGCCGAAGTGAAGCAAGGGAATCAGAAAGGAGCGCAAAGACGTTGGTATCAATCAACAATCCGGACGACGGCACCAACAGGTAACACTGCTGTGCTTCGTCCCCAATGTTCCATCGTGGTGTATTATCCCTTTTACCGATAGCACCCAGTGGTATCGTCGGCCGCATTATATTAAACAAGGTCTGGTAAGAGGGTGTAGAGAACTGAGAAGAGGTAGTTGAGAGGCGCGTGTCGTCCGGAGCGGGAGGGGAAGGACGAGGGTGGCGCCAGGGTGTCGACTTAGCGGAGGGAGAAGCCCTTTCTCTTGCCCTTCTCTTCGATCGGCCTGCCAGACTCGATGCGGGCCTTCTTCTCCTCGAGCTCTTGTCGTTGTCGGTCTAGCTGGTCCTTCATCTCCTTGTGACGGGCGTACAGCTCTTCTTCGCTCTGGCGCAGCTTGCTCTCCTTCTCCTGCACCTTTTGCTGGAACACCATCTTCATTTCCATCTCCATCTTCTGGAGCTTGGCCTCGTGCAACGAGCGCTCCTCCTCTTGCTTGACGGCAGGGTTGACCTCCTTGAACACGCTTGAGTCCTGTTGGATACCCATCTGTGCAAGCTTCTCGGAGCGGTAGTTCTCGTACAGAGCGTTGTTAGTGTTCTCCTTGAGCTCCTCCATGTGGGTGCGAATGAGCATCTGGCGCAGCTTGACAAAGTCGCAGTGCTCCTCGTTGTCGACTTCGACGACACCCCAGGGCAGCGCACGCCCGCGGACCTTGCGGCCGTCAACAGTCGTGACCTCGGTGTTGGAACCGACAACGGCGAAGGGGACCTTGGCCATGATCTCCTGGTTCTCCGCAATGGTCTCCTCGTCGTCAAGCTCATACCGTGGGCCCTCGAAGATCTGGATCTTGTGGTAGGCGATATCTGCAAGAATCTGTACTTGTTAGCAGTGCTATATAGGCAGATGAAGCGACGTACCCTCTTCTTGTAGTTATCAATTTCATCGTCAGTAACGGTGTCGGCCTTGGCAATGACGGGAATCAGGTTGACCTTGGTGTGGAGCTTCTTCATCACCTCAATGTCGATGGGCTTCAGGGAGTGGCCAGTGGGCTGGATGAAGTAGACAACGGCGTGGATGCGGTTGTCGACAATGTTCATGCGGTTGACCTTGTTCTCAGCATCCAAGTAGGCGTCGAAGCGCTGCTCAATGTTCTTGACAATGGGGTCCCAGGACTCATCGTTGTTGATGAAGTCGCCAAAGCCGGGTGTGTCGACTACTGTTAACCTCAGGCGGACACCGTTCTCCTCGATATCGGCGCTAATCGACTGGATCGATACGGTCTTGGAGATGTCGAGACTGGGGGGCTTGCGCTCCTTGGGCGGGTACAGCGAAGTGTTGAAGAGCGTGTTTACAAGGGTCGACTTTCCGAGTCCAGACTCGCCTGAAATGACACGTTAGCTCGGATGGACAATTCGTGGGCGGGGTGTACACCTACCGACAACCATGACGTTGAAGTTGAATCCCTTGCGCACACTCTTGCGGTGCCACTGGTTAGGCAGGTTCGCAAAGCCAACGTAGCCTGTGAGCTTCCTGCGCACAATGTTCATGTCGTTTGCCATGGCAGCTGCGGCCTTGGGGTTCTTCGCCGTGATGGTGTGCACCGCTGGAGAGGAGCCGTTAGACATCGACATCGTTTGATCCATGCCGTATCCGCTGGACGACGCTGGGGGCGATGGAGACGCACGGGTGGGCGGCGCGGGAGAGGTAGCACCGTTGGATTCTACAGCAGAATGTTAGCCAGGGGCCAGGGGAGAGAGATCATGGCCATCGAGCGCGGCAGCAGCGACCAATGCCAAACAGGTATGACCCTGCTTGGCGTTGCCCAAGAGCCACCGCGTGTGTACCTGAGGTGCCAATGATGCCGTGGCTGAGGTGTAGTTGTTGATGTCGCGAGACGGGGGTCGGGGAGAGCTCCTTACCCATGGTGTAAATAGTGTAGTAGAAACGGACGATGGGTCGTCAAGTGAGGGACTTCTGCAGATGAGAGAGCGATGTCAGCGGAGGTTCTCAATGCGTGCTGGTGTTGGCTGCGTGGCTGCTAAACAAATGTAACAACGCGACCAAGCCCAGATCGGGAGAAATAAAGTGAGACAGGCGTGAGGGAAGGGCGGCGTACCAGTCAGCGGTAGTTATGCTCTCGAGTGAGTGATGCACTCAAAGCAATGAATTGAAGGTGGTGCAGATGGCTGCGAAGGAAAATGGCGTGGTTGTCCGGAGGCTTCGACGTTGGAAAGGGAAGTCGTGGTGCCGTCCGTCGCTGGGTGGAGGAAAGGGGTCCGCACAGGGATGGGCGCGATTGGAGCAACGCCGAAGCAATGGGCACTAGACCAAAAATCCCCGCGTCACCACTAGCAGCGAGCCGGCGTCGAATACCGCTGGAAATAACACACGACGAGTGGGAGCAGCGCGGGTGAGGGAGAGTGTAGGAGGGATGCAGTTGACACCTTTCACGTTGTTGAAGATTTTGTGCTCTTGTGCACTGCTGCAAGAGGCAGTCGCGAACCGTGCTTCCCAAAGAGGTAGCGTCACGTGTGGGTAATTAGAAGGCACGAGCAACGCGTTGACTAGACATTAAGCGGTCGTTGCTTCCTCACGACTATCTGCCCCAACCCTGACACCGCTGTCGCACCCCAAGGCTGCCGCTCACGCTGCTGCAGCATGGCACCACAGGACGCGGGATGTGAGACTCGACACCTATCCAATTACATCGCATCCATCCCGACCATCGGCATACCCGTATCCAGTTCATCGTCTTATCTATGCAAATCAAAGGGTATTTTGCGCATGTCCCAAGCAAACAACTCCAATCTAACGCCGCAGCACCTCGCTATGCAAAGCTCGCCAATGCCCTGTTCAACTCGGTCTTGTCGTACTTGACGTACTTGCCCTTCCCCTTGTCGATCTCCCGGTAGCGGTCGTAGAACCGGTTGTACAGGGGCTCGATGATGTTCTGTACTTCCTTGGAAAGCTGGTTCCGCACCTCGGGCTCCATTGCGTACGCCTTGTGTCGTGTGACAAGATCGTCGAAGCTTGTGTTGAAGTTCTTGAACTTCTCCTTGATTGCATCCTTGTCCTTGGAGCTAAGAGACTTTACGATAGCTGCCGAATCTGCACCGCCTGACGTTGGGCGTTCCTTGCTACGGTTCGTGTACTGCACATCCAGTAGGTACCCTGACGGTTCACGCCACGCTTCAAGATACATGGCCGTGCCTTGCTTACGCCAGTCTGCCAGCTTCTTGGAGTAGCTGTCCATGAGCGGTGCGAGTTCTGAAGAGCGAATAATGCGTGTGATGATAGCGATATTGTTGGCCATGAAGACACCTTGCAGGTTCTTGCCCTTCAGTAGTGTCTTTGCTTTGCCAATTAGATTCTGCAAAAGTGTGTCGACAGTATCCGCCGCGTATGACCCGAACAACTTCACGCCGTCGGGGCCAACGTCCAAAGTCGTGGATGAGTTGTTAGCCGATCCAGAGTTCCAACCGCCCTCTCCCAAAGATGCCAATATCGACGCAAGAGGTTCGAGGTAGTTGGTCATCTCTTGCAAGCGTCGCATCGTCTGGGTTGTAATATCCACCGGACCGCCGTCGATAGGAAGCGCAATGAGTCCTTGTGTTTTTGACCGTGTATCTTCGAGCATCTTGCTCAGAGACGTTTTCGACGTCTCTCGAACCGGCTTCACGCTGTCGTAGATCTGATCTTTCAGGGCGCCAGTCTGCTTCTGCAGCCGCATCGACAGAGTCCGGACCAACCCGCAAATCTCGTATCCAAGAAAGCAGTCTGTCAGCAGGTTCTTCTGAATATGCCCGTTCAGCTCACGTAGGGTCTTGCTAAAGTCCTGCAGCGGGACCTGGCACGTTGACTCGTAGACATCGGCCCATTCCTCTCTGTCGAAGACGTAGTTCAGGTTGTCAAACTCCGCTACGAAGAGACCCTCTATCGCTTGGACGTATGTGCCGATACCATTAGTACCCTTCTTGTACAGCGCATCTGCCTGCACCTTCCTGGCTGTGCTGATGGTCGCCTGCATGAGACTCCTCAGTGCGCTCTCTAGGTATTCGCCCCGGACGTCTGCGTATATTCTTCGTGTGGGGGTCTGCGAAAGATCGATCTGCGATAACTGGGCGAAGGACTTGGAAATGTGCGAGTTGATGCTGCGCAGGCTCTGGAGTTTATCCTGGGGCATGCGGGGGAAGGGATTTTCTATACGATGTTAGTATCTCCCCAGTCGTAGTATATGGGCGACATACGCTTTGCGACATATTCCAAGGCTTGGACCTTTTCTCGCGCGCTATCCTGCAGTATACCGCGGAACACATCCTCCAATTGCTTGTTGCCCAGCTTCAAGAGTCCGCTAAGCTCTGCAATGGCCTGTTCGTTGGAGCGAAGGTTGGTGCGCTTGAGGTCTGCGAGACTCATGTTGGTGCGGTCGAGCGAAGCGATGTAGCCGTCCAGGTCTCCTCGTCCAGGTCCAGCGCGGATAATCCTCTCTTCCTTTGCACTTTCTTCACGCGGGGCTCGAAGGCGGTCGATTGCGTCTATTATACGGTCGACGTTGTTGTTTGCTATCTGTAGCTTCTGTGTGTTGCCGTAGATTGGGCCGATTGCTTCCTGGACTGCCTTTCCGCTCGCATCGAGCCTATTGACGGAGCCTTGGATCTTTTTTGTGAGCGTCTTCATTTTCTCCATGTTGGCGAAGAGCACTTCGACCTCCGCACTCTCCTCCAGGAGCGCGGCTTTCCGGGGAGCGACCATGGCGACTGCTGGATAGATGCGCAACTGCCTCGAGGGCTACGTGTACGCGCGTTCGGCGGCGAGGACGACCTCGATTATATCAAACGGGCGGGTAATAATGAAGCGAACATGAAGTACAGCATATGTTTGTACAAACGAAAGAATATCCAATGGGGGAATACGACGCCGCGGTATAGGATGATGTGGGAGGGGATGCTTGCGGAGAGCTGTCGCGGAGGCAACGCTAAGACGGCCAGGGTCCAGCGTAGATCATCTCGACACCTTTCACTTTTCGATAAGCCGCGCAGTCGAGGTACTCATCGCGGCTTCACGCAATACATGCTTGTTACACGTAGAACTGCACGGCAGCCAACTCATCTGCGGGCCTTGATACCCCAGAATGACGTTTTTCACAGCGGGTACATGCGCTAATCAGCCTCGCCTGCCACCGGAACCCGCTGTCTGCGTATCACATATGTTTCGGCGACGCGTATGCGCCTTGCATTCAAGTACCACTGTGGCGCATGTGAGCACAGACGGATGTTGTACAAGGATATACAATTGAGTAGTAAGTGAGTAAACTAGATACGCAGAAGCTATGGTGTTTTTATCCCGTACACGTGAAATCCTCGCCAGGGCATCGATAGTACTTGGAAGAATGAAGATGAAGATGAAGTAATGATGGTCGCTTTCCCAGCTGGCGGGCTTCTCAAGTCATGAAAACGCGGAAAGAAAACAATACCAAAGAAGTAATAAAACCAGGAATTCGAAGCCATGTGACGCATACGCATGCGCATGCAATCCGCAAGTCAAGACAGAACGCAGTTCACTATCACTGTCCAGGGCGACCGCCACCAAACCACTCGCGGAACTGAGTCCAACCTTCATTCTGCGAGATTGGCACCGAAGGGACCAGCGGATCGCGAGCAGATGGTGCGACTAATGCCTCATCTTCCGTCTGCTCGCGCTTGATCTTCTTCTCAGTATGCTCCTCTTCTCCGCCGATGAATCGGCTCTGAACATCTTCAAGGCTCATGTCGAAGTCATTGAGCAGCTTCCTGAGCTCGCCACGAGCCTGCTTGTGCTCCTCAGTCACATACGAGGAGTTCATAAGAAGCTGCTCAGCAGTATTTGAGAATCCCTCAATAAGGTCAACAGCGCTGGTGACAAAGGCATCGCAATCGGTCTTCCACGCGTCTCTCTGCTGGGTCTGAAGCTTTTCTTCGATATTCTTGAGAAGTGGACGCAACGCCTCGCCAGGCGGGCCATAGCCGTAGTTTCCATAGGTTGGGTTGCCGATGATCGAGTTCTGTAGCGCTTGTCGTTGCCTGTTGTAAATTCCTGGGCCAGCGCCAACCATGTTTCGATCGGAGGCTAGGTCGTAGGAGGCCTTCATTGCAGTTGCTATTGGACAGTAGATGTCGATCTCCGTGGTGAATCGCAGATGAGTTTCTCCAAGCGAGACGCGAAGACTAGCGAGCAACATGTCATATGCCGCCTGGACGCGTCGTTCTACTAGGGCCAACTCTTCAGTAGCTCTTAGTTTCAAATCTGGGTGTGCGGATGACTGGGTGATGGCCGATCGAGTTGCCTGCAACAATTTTTGAAGCACCCTGTACAGACTCATAGCGAATTCCACGGTGCTGGCGTTCAAGTTGTTATACCAATTGTCCAAAAAAAATTTCATGGTACCAAGGAGCTCGTAGTTCATGTTGTAACCCTTATATTTTCCGGAGACTGGTTTTCCGTTCTCCGCGAGCATCTTTGCAAAGCCCGGGTAGTAGATCAAGGGATGGACCCATGAGTTCTGCACCAGCTGCTGTATGCCACTTATGATACTTTGTTCCTCGTTTTGAGACCAAGGCTTTCCTACCAGGGACTGTAGGGGACTGCCTGCCAGATTCTTCAAGGTATTCCGAACTGGTTCGATCTGAGCCTTCAAATCGCGTCGCATCTTAGCATAACTCTTGTCTTCTATGTGCTTCTCCAAAGGTCTTTCAGCTTGTCTTCGGAATGATGGTAGCGTAGCGTGGACATGTTCGTAGAAATCCCGATAGTTGGTGGCTGCTGGCAATGTAGCCAGGAAATGCCTTAACGCGTAGATTCCAGCCGTGGTATCGTCAAGGATCGGAGTGTCTCTCTGAATGCGGCTTCTTGAAGAAGTGTGAGCAAGTGCGGATACCGAGAAGACCTTGATTCCTTTTGGATGCATCTGTCGCTGCACATTTGCAGTTTCATACTTTATGTAAGCAATCGTGGCTTCTCTCAGCAGCTCATCTAGCATATCGGATACGACTTCAGGTTCCGCAATACCTTCGTCATCGAGATTGTCAATCTCTTCCAGACGTGCATTCAGCGCTGGGAACGGGTGTTCATTAATCTGTCGAATCTGTGTACCCATGTTGTCTTCGTTGATGAGTTCCTAGAAGACAAGTCAGTCGGGCATTCTGATAGAGAGAAGGCGTCAACTGACATCGGCCTTGTTCATTACTAGTATAGTCTTGTTCGCTCCTTTGAGATGGATCGATCGATCAATATACTCATCGTGCAAGACACTAGTCTGCAGTCGAGAACATGGCGCGACCACCATCTCGAAGTCAGCCTTCCAGCGGAAATTGTTGATCACGCCTTCACGCAGCTGACTCGTATCACCATAGCCTGTTTTCATTAGCTCAACGTCGTATGATAAGGAGCCAGTGGCTTACCTGGTAAGTCGAAGAGGCGTAATCCATGCCGCAAAAGTATGTGGCCGGTCGCAATGGTTACGACTTTCACAAATGGCCACAACTCCTTGATTCTGGCTGTTTTTCTGCCCAGCCTGTTGTCGGGAATATTCTTGAAGTGTGCAGTCCGGTTGTGAAGGTCTATTTCGCTCATGTCTGTTGCAAGTTGCGCGAATCGATCATTGGCACGTTTGCAACAATCATTAAAGAAGTTTCCCTCTTTGATGTTCGTATGATAGAGCATCCTCTCAAGCTCGACACTCGCCTGCTTATCTTTCTGTACGTTAAAGATGATCTCGAAGAATTCCTTAGCGGTGGTGATTGCACGCGACATGGTCTTGGAAGTCGTTTTACTTGGCGGCTGAGTAGCATTGTTGTCGTCAGGATCGTTCTCGTCTTCGCCTTGAAGGGGTTGGCGATTCTTGTCGACGCCAGGATAGACCTCGACCCATCGATCCATTTGTTCTTTGATGCAATCCTTGATTTCCTCTTTGTTGAAGAACACAACTAGAAGATCGCTCAGAGTAGTGTGGTCGGTAGCTCCGGGCTTGTACTCCAGGACTGTTGCATAAGCCGTGCATGCCTTCGAAGAACCCGATCGATCCAGGAGGCCTCGTTCGAATAATGCATTGATAAGAGAGCTCTTACCGATACCTTGCTCTCCAAGTACTGCCACACTGTAATACCTGATGTCAGGTAGTTTTCTTGCGATTTCTGCTGCATCGATCAAATCCTGGAAGCGTTGGTCGACGGACGAATACTTCTGCATCGCACTCGTGAGCTTGTCACACAATTCTTCGACCAAGACCTTAATTTCCTCTTGCTTCAAGGCATACCAACGGTTGTTGGCAAGTTCTTCGTCAATAGTCGCATTGTGCATGGCGGTAAGGTCCCGTTTCTGGGAAGGTGTTTGGCTCCGACCAGGCGGTCTTGTCGATGCTCGAAGTGCCATCGTATCTTGGAGGCTATTGTTCGAGTTGGATCAGGAAGAAGTTGCCCAATCGAGCCGAAAGAGTATTGGGTGTATCAATGATTCAAGAGAAAGTATGGTCGATGAGAGATGATTGTAGAGGAGAAGAAGAAGAAGGCACGAGTTGAGAGAGCTTAAGTAGCGTCCTGAGGGATGAGATGCAGCCCGAGCTCAGGATGAGAGGTGAGAGAAGGGACATGCACCGACTCATGATGCCCTTTACTTACCATGTTCTATATGCTCTGAGGTACGTACAGGTGAGTGAGGGGATTGGGAATTCTCCGCACTCTCGCCGGAGAGTAAGGTTGGTCATACCAAGCGCGTCAGAATTGGCAGGAAACTGGAGAAAGCTGCAGTCTCAATGACTGTTGCATCAGTCGAAAATAAAGACATATCTATGCTGGTAGCGAATGGGTGCTGAAGCACGTCTGTTTGCGAGCAATCAGAGTGCCTGCGATACGAGACTGGAATAGTCCTTGGACCTACCACGTCCAAGGACCAAATACGTGTAGCTCATGTAAGTCGCGAATAACGCGGGTGTCTTCGCAAGTGGATGGTGGAGACATTGGTTGATTGGCGGCAGGTTCAGCGTTCCTGCATGGCTTGGCAGACGTTGAGCGGGCAGTGATTCGGCTGGCGTCATGCCGAAACCAGTTCTGGCGGAATTTTGCGGGCTCAAAGCAGGTTACATGCTCCGTCATGCTTAACGCATTCCCATGGGCTCAGGTGGGCTTTGCGCACTTCCCCATGTGCCAGGCTCGCACGGCACCTCCATCCCACTCCCATTGCCCTTTCTGACTCAATTGCGTGCATGGCCGGCTATAGGAACACGCGCAACCTGGGCCACCTGTGGCTGCGGGGGACGCGTCGTGGGTAAGCTAACACACCACCCATTGTATGCCCCTGCTAATAGGACCAGCCTGCACACGAAGCACCCGCTCTCCCAGCGATCCAAAGCAACTACCCTCGGCCTGCGGTACGGCCCTCCATGTCTCCTCGCGACGGCTGCGACTGGCTACCTCTCTTCTGCATCGTCGCCGTACCCACTCTTTCGTCCCATCCACCTAGACGCGCCTTCCCTCAAGCGATACTTCTTCGGCGGCAATGACAAACAGACCGAGACCACTTCGGTCGGAGACGCCGAGAGGCAGGTGAATGAGGAAGGCGAGCACAAGTCAGGTGAGCAGGAGGCGCCATCGCAGACGCGTGTTGCCAAGGGCTACAGCGAAGAGGACGAGGAAGCCGGCCAGAGCAAGTCAGCCTGGCAGACCATCACGAGCAAGTTCCCCGCCTCCCCGTCACCTTCCAAGCTCGGCGACACTATCATC